TAGTAGCGTCCTTGTTCCTAGTAGCGATGCCAGGAGCCCCTAGTAGCTTCTTAAGGTAGAAGTTGCTTGAGACTTGGCCCGTCGTGGGTGAAACGACGCACTGTCAACGATGTTCGGATCTTCGCAGGTGCCTGGCCTGGCTCCCTTCACGCCCTCGTGTGGAGCCGAGGGAGTCGAAACAGGACTGTTCTTGGCATTTCTTATGGTTATCAACTCTTCAACATGTAAACTGTGGGTTCTTTTACAAAGTCATGTTCTTTTTTGGTGTGTGTGACGGTATGTGTGACGTGTGTGTGTGTTCAAACACTTGCTTGGATTGTTTGCTGCACTTGGTATTCTCATGACAAAAAGATTGGCAAGTGTACCTGAATGGCAAGTGGAATGAGATTGAATGAGATTGACCAAAGCTAACTCCAATGCTCACATGAAGATTAACCATCAAGTCGAGTACGCCAAAACCCGCAACCAACATCGGCTTTTGACCCCGGTAAAGTGTCCTTGCAGGACAAACGGGTTCACAACAGTGCTAAGAGACTCACTCGATGGTCCTTTTCCTAGGCCAGGGCAAGAAGAGGAAGAAGATGATGGAGAGCTTGGTGTTCCAGTGGTTGGCTGAGACACATCTGAGACGTGCGATTTCCGCTCGCCGCAACACCCAAACAAGCAAAACAGTTGAAGTGCTTTCAAGCCACCGACAGTGACACCACTTCAATGATATGTTGAAGATGCTTGAAATGCTCGATCAAAGTATGTATAGGGATAAACTCTTCCAACTGGGTTCCTTTCGTTCGGAAACTTCCTCGATTGGTGTGGTATCATGATGATCCAGAAGCAACCTTCATGATGTGCTGCAAACACACAGACTGTCATGTCCCATATACACGCACCTGTCCTCAACCCCTTGCAAAAACGAAAACCAAGATGAACGTCATTCCGAGTCCAACGACGTAATTAGTCAAACGACGAGACGTATGTCCAATAGTTCCATCAATTAGTGTCTTGTCTGTGTTTCATGGGAGCCCACCGCAACAGCCGGCCAAAAGAGCTGCACATGCACTGACCCGACCCACGCCGCCGGGCTCATAGCAGAACAGCCAACGACGGTGGGGGTCTGGTGGCCTCCGTCCTCCACAATGGACGCTCGGTGCTTTAATTGGGACGCGCTAACGTCGAAGTGGCAAAGCAAGTCGTGGAGAGCTTCGTGATGAGCTTCGCTTCCCTGCTTCCTGGGGGGGGGCGGAGCACGTGTCGGGTGCTGAAGTGTTGGAGCTTTTGAGAAATCTCGCAAGCTAGACACGGGGAACCCAGCATTCCCCCCAAGGAGCACGTTAGAAGACACGGAATCCCATCATGATAGTCAGCTACCGTCAGAAGATCAAGAACTAAGATCAACCATGGGAGTCCAGTCGACTATAAAAAGAATGGTCTGACTAGGGGACCTGAGTCAGGGAACTTCCTTTACTTCAGCCGGTCAAAATATAGTCGAACTGGACTTCTAGGGACTAAGTTCAACGGGGCCGGAATTTGCCGGTGGCACGGCACGATTCTCTTTCCTTCGTCGAGTCCAAAGCTGATAGGCGACGAACCAAACGAGGACCATGCGCTTCACTTGCAAACCACGCCTCCTCCGAACTTCCCACAGCTGTGACGAGTGACTGAGGCGCAAGTCTCACCCGCGGATCTCAAATCGCTGCCCAATCTGCCAGGGTATACTTTCCCAGAGCGCGAACCTCAGGTGAAAGGAAAGGAGAAAAGGAGGAAAGGCCAAGTAGATGAAGTAGATCCCTACATCATGTCAGATGTAGTCGCCCGAGCTTCAATTTTGCCGAGGTACAAGGAGAACTACGGCAGACCCAATTCCTGGAATGTCGTCAATGGCGTGCGGATTGAGCAGAAGGAGGGCTTCTCACATGACAAGCCAAAGTTTGTCAAGGTGCGAACAGTGCCGACCAGGCTGTTCGTCCATTCCTGTTCGGGGTGTTTTCGCGATTGCAACATGTAAGAATGGTGCGAGTCTCCAGCATGGGCAGAGGGAATATACAAGTATTGGACATGACACGACCATAGTGCTTTGTCCCTGTCCAAACCCTTGCCTTTTATGTTTCTTTCTGTTGAAGTAGCTTAAACATGACCTCAATAAAGACTGCCCAATTCAGGAACTCTCACCCTGAAGTACACAGGAAGCACGAAGAACTGCAGATCCGAACCCCCTCCAAACGCTTTTCAACCCGGTGATTTGTCCCTTTCTCCCACCGGCGCCGTCGACACCACGCATCGCTGACAGCTTCTTCGCAGGTGAGCAAGGTCCAAGACGTGTGGCGAAGCGGTTCCCTCCCCGACAGCCAGACGCGCGCCGTCTTTAAGAATGCACCGTGGCGACGCAGACGGAAGTCGAACAGCGGTGGGACCGGTGTGGTCGTGGAAGATGGGGTCCGATTTCGGCCTTCGGCGATCGGGGTTGGAACTGGCGTGTTTTGATTTGGCCACCACCTCCCCAACAAAAGGGGCATCTCTGGGAACTGGGGTAGCCTGGAAAAAGGCCGGCCACGCTCAGGCTGGTAAAGACATCCAATTCCAAGAGCTCCCTGCCTGGGACGCCTTTGACCGCCACGTCTTGCGCTTCAGCGGCTACTTCAAGGAGCCATCGCTTTGGGGATCGTCGATCGTCGTACTTCGGTTTCCGTTGGAAATGGTTGCACCTTCTATTCACCGGGCCCATAGGCAGACTTGGAAATGGTCTCCAGCTTTCTCTCGTGAAGATGTGTGTTGGAAACGGCCTCCAGCACTGTGACTACGAACACGAGTACAACAAACCCTGGAAGCTTCGAAGACACCACAAACACGAAAACGAACCTAGTAGCTTCTTGTTACTAGTAGCTTCTTGCTCCTAGTAGTACGGCCAGAGCCCCTAGTAGCGTCCGATCGCTCCTAGTAGCCATGCCCTTTGCTCCTAGTAGCTTCTTGTTACTAGTAGTCAGGCCAGGAGCGCCCCGTTCGTAGCGTCCGATCGCTCCGTTCGAGTCGCGATCGCTCCCGAAATGCTCCGTTCGAGTCGCGAACATGAACAAAGTCGATCTCGTCCGTGCGAGGAGTCCGTCGTTGAAACCAACCTCGAGAACTTCCGCCGCTGGGCTGCGACATGCGAAACCGACGTGTTTGTGCCTCGATGGCCTTTGCTCCTAGTAGCGTCCTTCCTTGCTCCTAGTAGAAAGGCCAGGAGCCCCTAGTAGCGTGTTTGTGACATGATGAATTCTTGTTGGTTTTGTTGGATTGACATGTGTTGACCAAGAAACAAAGAAACTGAAGGGGAAGTAGAAGGGATGTATGTGCTCTCGTGCGTGATGTTGGGCAGGCTTGTGGAATTTCACAAGAAACTTAAGAGATTGATGATATTTGTTAGTGGTTCCATTCTCTGTCACTCGTTTTGGTTGACATGCACCAGAGATGACTGGCTTTTTTGGCTCGTCGCGGTGTGGCACGGTACCGTGAGTCTCATTTCGTTTGGATTGTGGCGCCCGCCAGCACCAGTGCTGTGAGGTGTACGGAAGGTGGTGATCTACTACTACTTGGAGGACAGTTCTTTAGGTTGCCGGCGAAGGTCGTTGCTGGTCGGCCCCGTTCAGGGCCGGGCCAACCGCTCTTGCACCACCGCAGGACGACACCTGCCAGATTCAGGAGCCCAAGCAAGACAACAGCGGAATGCCCCAAGGCAGGTGCTGGCACCCGCCAGGTCACCATGGCGATGGAAGTGTTCAAGGGATTTTGACAGCTGGAAGTGTTTTTCAAAATGGTCGAGTCTTCGCATAATCTGGCCCATGCCTCGTGTTTTCACGACTGAGCCAACATGAAGGGCCTCCCCAGACTGCAGAAAATGAAACTGTGATGTTAGCTTGAGAGCGATCTAGAGTCTAGAGCAACTCGGCAGCCCCCAGTGCGACCAGAAGGAAAAAGACCCTTGAAAACGTTCGGATAAAGAAATTAAGAACTCTTGCTGGAAAAAGTTCTTCATCAATCCCCTTCACCTCAATTGCGTTGCCTTCATGCTGCGGTGCAGGTCAGTTGATTCGCCGTCATCGCTTTCCCTCGCTGGAGGGGGGCTACCTGAAGGCAGAGGAGCGGGCAGGGTGGAAACATTTGCCATGCAAGGACGAGGCCTCCAACCTACTAGCGATGGCCTCCAACCCAGATAGAATCCAATATCGAAAACCGTCATCTTTCGAGAAAAAGGCTAGATGTCCACCATGTCCACCACGCTATCTTCGGTGTCATCCCGCTCGAACGGAGTTCGGCCACGACCCCCCCGGGTTCCTCCGTGTCAAGGACATCCGCGTGGGCTCCGCGCTGCAAATCTACGGCCGGAGCATTTTCGTGACGGACTGCGATCCCTTCACGAGGCAGAGAAGCGTTTTTGTGTGTGTTGGTGTTGACTTATGTGTGTTTTTTCGCAAAGAACGCGGTTTTTACTGGTTGGGGGGTTCTCTTTGAAGCTGTTTGGGGTCTATGCGAATTTCACGCAAACACACTTGGCGCAGTGCTACTTGCTGTTTGCCAGCGAAGGGTGAACATGGACACGCTCTGAAGAGCTCGGACTGGGCGACTTCCACCCGCGGACTGGATGACAAGGTTGCCAGGAGGAGAAAGAAAGCATCCCTAAAAGACATTGAGTCCGTACTGGACAGGTCTTCCGCCCCGTTCGTAGGGGAAGCTCTCAATCCGTTCCGTTGGCAGGGAGTACTTCGAGCAGGCCGGTGTGCCACAAGGCCCGCCGGAGCCGGAAGAGACCGATCCCTTCCAAGAGACGCGCGACGCGATGCGCCTTGGGCAGCCAAGGCCATGCGACCGGTTTTGGGTCGGAGGAGCGTGCTGGAGATCTAGTTTCTTAGTGCTGGTAGTGGCTGGGCAGGAGAGCTCTCTTTTGGGGATGGACAAAGTATGACAAAGTCAATGGTGATGTGGTGCTGGTAGTTTCCGACTGGTCAATGTCTGAAGTGTGGATCCTTCTCTTGATTGAGTTTTCTAGCTAGTTGTGGTTCGGAAGGGCCTGAAACCAGAGATGGGTGCAATTTGGCAACAACCGCCAGGTCTAAGATGTGCCCGATGTGGTTGGTGTGTCCGATGTTTCCGCATGCAGTGGACCACACCATCGCCTCAGGAAGAACCATGCTCCGGTTCAACCACGAACCTATGAGAAGATCTACCGAGAGGCGCCGAGAGTTTTCGGAAGCGTTTATGCGGGGGGGGGGTTGTGGACAAAGTTGAAACCGACTTTTTTCGGCGAAAGGAACCGGGAAGCTGCCAATGAAAAATCGGATGACACATGTCATGTGGAGGTTATTCTTGTGCATAAGAAGCTATTAGGAACAAGTGCCACGCTACTAGTAACAGGTGCCTTACTAGTAGTATCAAGTAACAAGAAGCTACATTGAGCCAGTGACGACTCCAGTTGCTCTCCGTGGGGATCGCAGGTCATGCTGGGTGGTGGCCACATCAACGCCGACATGCAACAGTTCTTGGAGAACGACAAGAAGGCGCCCAGGAACGAGTGCGTTGTGTGTTCTGTGGCGTCCTAGCTGGAGAGCTCGAGCTCACGCACGGAGTGCACGAATTGATTTGGTTCGTGAAGAACAAACGAAACACGTATGAGAATGAATACATGAAAAAGCCGAAAAAAGGAAAGAGTGCCGGTCTGTGGGTCGTTTGGACGGACCGGCCAGGTGTTGCGCTTCTATGCGGTGCTGGATGATGTGGCTTGGCTCGCAGCAATTTGGAGAAGGACCCTTAAGGACATGATTTCGGATTTCGTGTGGTCTCAAGACTAGCTGACTAGCTACTTAGGACACCACGGCGATGACATCCAACCTAAGAGCGATGGCCCTGGCCTCCAAGCTACTTAGGACACCAGAACTAGATCCTGGAACACTTGATTGATCTACATCGATCAGACCCACATCTTCTCACGCCAGTGCTGCCAAAGCGGTTTCGCTTCACCCCAACACCGTTTCGTTTTTGGACCGCCTTCTGCTGGTGGGTCTTCATGAGGATCGAGAAAAGGGGATGAGGGATGAGGAGGGATGAGGAGGGATGAGGACAGGTACTCAAAAAGAGAAGACCTCCCATGATTCAGAGTACGAAAACGCGGAGCTCATCACAAAAAGAGAGAGCGAGTGGCATCCGACTGAGCACGAGACCGAGGTGACCACGCCACAGTTCGAACGTCGGTCTGGGGACCCAGTGGCCTGGGAGCGTTCGGTGATGGTCGCTGTGGATGGTCGCTTTGCCTTCTGAAACCGATGCTGTAAGTGAAAGTGGATGCTAGTGGCAACATGCAGAAAAAGACCCTGCCAGCAAGCTGAGTTTGTTGCACTAGTGCGCCAGAAGCCATACTGTATGTGTTAGTATCTCAAGAATCGCCAAAGAAATGCATTTCGCCAGAACATTCTCCGAGGCCATTCACCATCATGTTCTTCCTGGCGGATGACACCATCGAAATCCGGGAGCAGTACCCGCTGAACTGCGGCAGGCGAGTGGTGACGTCCGCGTCGAAGAGGTTTCAGTGTACAGGATCTCGTCGGGCCAGGTTCACCGGCCGCCTTTGGGGAAAAAACGTTTCGTGTTTCGCTTTGTTTTGCTTAAGCAAGGAGCAAGAAGCTCACGCTCCGAGCAAATGGACGCTTCTAGCAACTGGACATAGCTTCCCCTTGCAACTCAACGTTCCTTACGTTACGGCGCGGTCAGCCGGATCGCTCGCAGGGACAACTTCCCGATCTTCTTCCGACGGGGAAAGATGCCGATGGGCGCCTACAAGGTCGAGGGACCTCAGGCGCAAGCGCGAAAGAAGAACGAGTTCCTCGTTCGAAAGAGAGGTGCAACTCACCACGTTGGTGTGACTTCGTGAGGTGCCATGTGCCGGTTTTCTTGTGTTTTTCTTAACGGTGGTGCTGAGAGCCGCTGTACTTTTCGCTCATGAGCAGAGCGCAGAAACACCCCCTCAGCGCAACACATGTAAGAGGAGAAGCGAAGCCGATTTCTAATAATAGTGATGGCCTCCATCTAGTAGCTTCTAGTTGCTAGAAAGCTTTATTGTTGCTAGAAGTGAAGCCGATTTCTTTCCTTTTTCTTTTTCCTGGGTCGATCACAACTTGCCGCCAAGGTTCGTGCATGGCCACGACTTCCGTGTGAACATGACAGCCCCTTGGCTGAGGGGTCTAGCCATGTCAGCCCCTGACCTATTCCAAAGCAAGGCTTCGAGTGGTCGGCCGACTTCTCCCCCTTAGGCTTCGCGGGCCGTCTCCTCGCTGTCTCCTCACCAGGTGCAGCTGTTGGGCACCAACCACTTCTTCCTCTACGACGCGGATGAGTGCGGAGTCGAAAGCAAAACGGTTCGAGCCGAGTCGAAACAAACGGTTCGAGCCGAGCCGAGTCGTCTTCCAACATGAGGTGTTGGTCCTGACGCGGAATGAAAGGAATGAGATGTCTGGAAATGTCTTGCCCACTTCGCTACATGTTTCTGACACACCAACTGATCAACTACCTGGTCAGAAATGGTTGCCAATGGCTATGATGTCGGGTGCCTGTGACCAAACACGTTGAACTGGCTGGGTGGCTGGGTGTGGAGATGGCCCCCTTGTATTCATGGATCTCTCTGGCTACATCCTATCTTGCAGCTCTTTCTCCTTCTTTGGCCACCCAGAACATGCTCGAGAAAATTTCAGAAGCGCAGGTTCACACGGAAGTATTTCATCAACGAGCTGGGCGAAGAGCTGCAGCCACGTGTGGACGTGCGCTTGCCGGAGCGTGCCGTGCCCAGGCGGGAGGAAGGAAGCCATTCTTCTTTCGAAAAGAGGAAAGAGGACGGGTTCTTTCGTTCTTTTTGAAGTGACCATGCATGGAGGATGCACAGATGCACCGGTTGTTCCACTTCTGGCATAGCTACTATGTTCATAGGACCATTGCCGGCAAAGGCGGATCCACTCTTCGAACCAGTGCCGATACAAGGCAAATCCCGTTTGGTCCCAAGAAAGAGTCTTCTTCGGTCAGACCAGTAAAGGAATGGGAACGACCTGGTGGTGCAGTGTACAAATCCTTAGTCAAACAATGGTTGCTCTTCGAATCCTAAAAAACGAGGTAAAGGATTTGTCCATTCTTAAGTTGAGATGAGAAATGCAGCCCGGTGTGATCAATGCGAACGAACAGCCCTGCGATCCCATGAAGCGGAGGGCGAAGACCCCGCCCTACACGGGCTACGGCTCCTGGGACGACTCGATGGGATCGGTGACGCATTTGATCCCCAAGCTGCCCAAGAAGGACCGGTACTCTGGGAATGCGAAGGGAAGAGTAGCGTCCTCTTGCTACTGCTAGTAAGGCCAGGAGCCCCTAGGCCAGAAGGTCAGAGAATTGAGGTTTCTTGTTCTTCAAGTACCATCCCAGTAAGCTAAGCGTGTCAGCTGGTGTATTGTTGTTGACCCAACCCAGCGTAGCTGCTTGCTTTCTTCTCGGATTGAGACAGACTGAGTGCGATCCGCAGCGAAGCGAAAGAGTTCGACCAACGAAGTCTTCCAGGGCAAACGCCGTCCATCGAACGCATCTGGGAGAGCCTTTCTGCCAGACATTTTTGAGGCTCTTTTTGATCTTTTTGAGGTGATGAAGCTCCCAACTGGATCCTGGGTTGAACGTTTTTCTCCCAACCGGCGTTGAGTACCCCAGTAGATGTCAACCTTTTCTGGATCCCTGTCCTTCCAGAACTGTTTGCATTAGAGACTGCCTACAAGACCGCTTAGAGACTGGGCCACACTGAGACTCAGTCAGAGCGCGAGGACTTCGTGAAGCTCTTCCGACATGAGGGCAAGGTTCTCCGGTTCAAGGCGAAGTTTGCGAACCCCAAGCCGGAGGCGCTCTGGCGCTCTGTGTGCCGAGAGTGAAGTGGTGGCACGCACTAAGAGGTATATGCACTGAGCCGTCCCAAAGTTTTTCCATGGAAGTATGGCATATTTGCCTACTACTAGTAAAGGCACTTGTTACTAGAAGCGATGCACTTGTTACTAGTAGCGAACATTGTTACTACTAGTAAGGCACTTGTTACTACTAGCGTGGCCCTTGTTACTACATGGCATATTTGCCGATTTCTGCGGGTCCAGTTGTGTTTATTCACTCGTCCGGAGTGTGTGGGACTCATTTCGGTTTGCATCCTACAGGATGCTGACCGGATCTTCGTTATGAGCTACTACCTGCAGGACAGCCACGCGATGTGGGACCGTTTCTCCCGTGTGTTCTTTTCGCGTTCGTTGCTTTTCGCAACAGGATTTGCAAATCACTTGGAATCTGTCTTCTACACATTGGTGCTCTTCAATCGTGGGCACTCCCCTGATTTGGTACACTACATTAGTTGCTCTTGTGAACCGATACACTTTCAACGCAAACTTCAACAATCCGTTCCACCGTTGCAGTGAAGTGTGAGTTTCACTGCTTGATTCGAATTCGACCTCTCATGATGGCCTAAAACGTGACGAGGGTTATCTCATGTGACCTCCACAAATGCAATTCGGAAGAGAAAAAAAAAGGACGAATTGTCCAGAACATCGACCGTACGAACCGGGTATCGACCCTACGAACCGATCCGTCAGCAGTTCGTCGCAGCCCAACAGTGGGCCATCAGAGGTTCGATGAAAAATCCCCAAGGTTCGGTGGTTAGACCCCCATTGGTCGACATCTCGGGGTGCCAGAAGACACGAAACGACTGCAGCTGGCAGCTGGCGGAGCGAGCTCGTGAGGGAGACCGATACCGCGTGGCGTCGACCCCCCCGGGTTTCCCTTCGGAGAACCGATCCGTCTACCCCAGGGGCGAGAGGACTCGGGGGTCTCCCGAGATATACACACCTAGATGGATACATAGCGATGGCCTCCACCCTAGCGATGGCCTCCAACACCCAAATGGATACATGGCTTTTCCTGCCCCCATGCTCTTTGGAGTCACCTGAGCTGTCACCTTCGCAGCTGCCTGAGGATGATACTTTCGCCATCCACGAGCCACCGCAGAGGAATTTGGGCGCCATGTCGAAATCCGGCCATTCACGCCGTTCACGTGACATTGTTTGAATTTGTTCGAAAAGGTTTGCAGAAGGTTGTTGGGATTTGTTCGAAAAGAATCACCCGCAGGCAGATCCTTGATTCGTTTCCGGGGGCACTCCAAGGAAAGAACAAGAAAGGACAGATGGATGACACGGATATGACCTGGATGACTCTGATCGTTGGGCATGAGAAGTTGGTCGCAACAATGAAGCGTAAGTCCCCTGGAAAAGTTCTGAATCCTTTTTTGGAAAAACAACTGTTGCACTTTGCTCAAGTCGGACATGGTTGCCCCATGGCCCCATGGATTCGTCGTTCGATGGAAAGAAGAGTTTCACTCGTGACTGATCGGTACGTGCCAAAAAAGAGAAAACATTTGAGATGTTTTTTTCAGAAAGGAAGCACTCTTTCACCACTCTCACCCTGTCTCCGAACCCGCTCTGAGGCATCGTCACGGGTCGCTTCTTGGAGAAAGGCGACCCACCGACGGGTCCGAGACCGACCGTGACAGAAGCTCTTTTCACTCGGTGTCGTTCTTGTTTTTCGCCCGCTCCCCCCCTCCGTACCTACTTAAAGGCCGCTAGGCGCCTACTTATATAATTACATAAGGGAGAGGTAGCTAGTAGATACAGGCCGCTCCCAGCATGGATGCAGGATAGCTCACGCTTCTTCAAGGAAGCTCCTCCAGCCTGAGGGAGATTCCTTGAAGAAGCGCTCGCACTAATCCTTTGGTTCCTAGATTTTGAGGGAAACTGGTAGCGAACCTTGTTCCTAGTTGCACTAGTAGTATGGCCAGGAGCGCCCCGTTCGTAGCGTCCGCTTTGCTCCGTTCGTAGCAATGGCCAAGCGGTTCACACCGCTCAGGGGAGGTTCGCACCGACTGGCCAGGCATCCACATGAACCAGGTCACGGGAGAGCTCTTCCAGCCCAACGATCTCATTCCAGGCGCGGTCAAAGACCACGAGTCTGTCGACCATCGAAGGGTCTTTTACCGAACAGAGGTCGAATCCTGTCAGACCGCAGAAGATCCTAAATAATACCTGACGCATCCTGACGCCATGAGCTCCGAATCCATTTCACCATGATGCTTCACCAGAGCAAGAACTGAAGGGGAGCAGGTTGGAAATTCACCGGATTCCCTCAAGAATCTACAGTGGAAATCGTGAAGATCTCAAAACCACGGTGACAAAAGAGCGTTGACAACCACACAGAGAGACAGAGAGCTTGCAAGAAAAGGAAGAGAACATGTGTAGAATGATGTAGCTTCTTGTTACTAGTAGTAATGGCCTCCAACCTACTGGCGGCCTCCACCGTGCGTAGCGTCGCTAGTAAAAGAAAGAATCCAAATGGAAACCGAGACCTGTTTGTGTCATGCTGTTTGTGTTTTCCCGGTTCTGCCAGGAGACCAAACGCACCGTACCAGGTCGAACGCGCACGCACCGCCGTTTGGTCCTTCGTCAGGCAATATTGTCAAAGTCTACAACAATGAGTTCCTGATTGTGGACATGGATGAATACTCAAAGAAGGCTGTGGGCAAATCATATTTGTCGAGGCACTTTAGGAAAGGAAAAGAGATATGTAAAGGCGTGCAAGGGTCCAAAGGCTAAAGAAGAATTGCAGTACAAAGTTTACCTTTAACTGCCAGGTGTTTTTGCTCAAAGACGTGCTTGAAAAGGAGGACCCACGGAGATTTTGGGGATATACAGGATGAGAGGTGTTTGATCTGGGGTATGTGGCTACTCAGGCTGTTCTTTTTGGCTTTATTCTCTCGACGAAACAACTGTCCATCCCAAACTGGCTGCGGCGGGAAAGCAGTTTGTTGGAAGCAAAGTGAAACAGCTGACCTTCAGCCCTTTTTCTGACATGCTTACACACTTGCGGACACGATCCTGGTAGGTCTTCGAAAACCCGGATGCCTTGCTGCGAAAGTTCGACTTGGAAGCCGTCCTTCAGAAGTTGAGGGACTCGATGCGTCAGCAATACCCACTGGTGCGCGACATCTTCAGGCGCGAGTGTTCGAACGGAGAAAGGATCTGTGATGAAAGATCTAACAAGAAGCTACTAGGAACAAGTGCATCGCTACTAGTAACAAGTGCCTTACTAGTAGTAACAAGAAGCTAGTAGTTAATCTTAATTCAATTCTAATAGCTTCTTGTTGCTAGTAATAAAGCACTTGTTACTATTAGTAAGGCACTTGTTAGTAGATCACAGAGATGGCCTCCGACATTTCACCTGAGAGCGATGGACCGGGAGATCCCAGGAAGACTCCGACACGAGACACTCACTCCATATTGCGTTGCCAGGCGCTTCGATGGTGACCATGATGGAGTGTCTTTGGCGAAAACACCAACGAGTGATCTCCAGAAAATGCGTAGTAACAGCAGCTGGCGGCAGCGATTTTAGAGAGTAAAACTTCCAAAGAAAATTGTCGTTCTTCATCCCAGACCTAGAAACCATGCATAGACGTGGTCGACGTTCGGCGTAAGGTCCTCACTGTAGCAGAGTTCCAGCAAGCTTTGGAGAAGTTCGGCTTCCAGCTGGCGCCCGAGGAGATCCAGCTCGCTTTTCACTCGCTCGCCCGCTTTTGCTGCTGCTTTGGTCGGATTTGGGTCCGGCCGAGCAGGGTTCTTTGCAGTTCGTCACAGGTTTGTGGTGAACCATTGTGGACGCTTAAGGTGGCAAACAAACGCCTCAAAATACTGGGGGCTTTAAATGAGAAAACGGAACAAGAAACACCTTCTCCCCCCCCGTCCCACTTGGGGCACGTCGAGTTGCGACGACGTCAGGACGTCTTGAAGATCATGCGGCACTTCGACACGCGCAAGGACGGCCAGGTGAGTTACAACGAGTTCTGCGATGCCTTGTGACTCGGAGTTTGGGATGATGATTTTCTATTAGAAACAATGTTCGCTACTAGGAACAAGTGCATCGCTTCAAGTAACAAGTGCATCGCTTCTATGTTTTCTCTGGTCAGAAAATCAGGACTTCGGGAATTCATGAAGAAAAGAACTGTGGCACACCTCTTCCTCGATTTGGGCCAGTCTTGCTGAGGTTGGATCCCGATTGGACCACGGTGATGTTGCACACCAACCATCCTCTAGATGTGCCTTGAAGAAAAGCTTTGGAGATCTCTTGTCCAAAGAGATCGCTGTGTTTCCTTCCTTTTTTTGCCCGCCCGGCCCTGCCTCTTAACTCTTAACTAAAGTAAGGGAGTAAACACGCTACTAGCAATAGGATGATACTAGATATGACGCGGATTGCTCACGCACTAATTATTTTGGTGGAAAAGATAAAGCATCATGATGGTGTGTTTCCCCCATTTGTTCTTTGGACCTGTATAATCCTGTATCTTTATAGACTGGGCTAACGCCCATGTGCCGCCAACCCCTGTCCAGGTCACCTTAGGAAGCTAGCCCACAGCCAACAAGGGTGCTCCAATTGGGCATTTGAGGAGTAGTTGAAGCACTCATGGTTGGCGAAAAGACGTTTGGTCCTTTTTGCGCAAGCAAAACATGAAACATGGACTGCACTTGTCATGCATATTTCTGTTGGGTCCATGTGGGAGTATCAGATAGCTTTCATGGCTCGCCTTGATGTTCCAGCGGGTGAGGACCGAGTGCTGTGAAGGTGGTCGTTTGAAACAGTGTGGCTGTTCAGAGTTGGTCTGACACTGGCACTGCTGTTTAAAGAATAGCAGGGGGAAGGATGGATGAAGAAGGGACATGCTGGGTCATGGGCTGGGCTGGTGGGGCAGAAGACGGAGGGATCCAGGCACCTCTTGTATGTCTTTTCACCGGTGGTTTTTGTGGCGCGCGGACCCGCAGCTGTACCATGTCGGTACCATGACGCTAGACGCCGCTTACCAGTACAGATATTGGTGCTCCAAGTCTCTGGTCTCGGCTTAGTGCAGCAAGGAAGGCCCTCACCAAAAGACTTTGGTTGGGGAGGTTGGCATGGTCCGCCCGATGGACCACGCCAAAACCTCGGCCTCGCTGTGAAACACCCTGGCCCTGGAGGTTTCAAGAGGGGAAGGAGCGACCGCTGCCACTGTCTGACGTCACCTTCGGAACCCCAGAGAAAGAGGGTGCCCTTTGGAGGCCACGTGCTGTTACTGTGGGTCTTAGGAGTCTTCTTGCTGCGCTGTCCCAGGCGCCCCCCCACCTAAGCGTCAGCTAGGCAGGGGTCGGCGGTTATTCGACTTGCAGTCTGTCCAAGCCACAGCTAATTAGCAGTGGACTGTATGTATAGACCTGTCGATTTGTTATCCTTTCGCTCCCTTCCACCACCACGTGACCCATATCCACAGGCACCCGGGTGTCGTCTTCGTCGGCGGCTCTGAGGACTCTCATGACCACGCCTACGCGGAGCGCGCGATGGTCAAGACAGCGGAGCGTGCTGAGACCACTCAGGCGCCGAAAAGGATCAAAAGTTGAGATCTTGGACTCCTTTTGAATTCAAACTTCTTTGGCACCTACAGAATGAAAAAGGCTTGTTGTTCGCTGGGTTTTCAACACAGTCACAGAACGAATTCCTTCTGCAGAATGTTTTCTATTGTGGAGTGTCCATTGGTTTCCCAGTTGATTTTCTTGTTTTGAATAGGAATTGTTTGCCCAACCAGTGGGCTTTTTTCATGAGGTTCTTTTTCTCACGTTGGACAGCGTGACCGTTCTATTTGGTCATGCCAGTCGCGACTCATGGGACTTCCCACGCTCAGGTGCGCAAGGCGGTTCGAGAGTTGGGCGATGTGCTCTACAAGAAGTGGCCCAGCGAGAAAGCGAAATCGATGTCGTTTTGAGGGAACATAAGGGAACTACTTGGAATGCTGTCTTGAGGTATTTGGAGTGTTTTCTTTCCTCAGTTTTGTGTTGAGAGAAATCCATAGACGTCAAGTCGCTCGGGGATCGTGGAATGTGGTCCCTGGTTGCAAGAGTTCGAAAACGTCAGCTGTAGAGGGAGGAACACGATTCTTTGTGCAGTCCTTGATGAATAAAGTTCAGACACTGAACAAAGTCCTCGTTTGAATAGACGGAGATCAAAGTTGCCCAGATGGCCCGATGGATTTGCATGTATCCGAGCGAGCATGTGATTCGCAACTGCCTGCCTAGCTCTGTTCGCGGGTTTGGCCATCGGCCGATGTTCCCTTCCGAAAGGCCTGCTGCGTTGAGGCACAACTTCATCATCAGAGTCTTGAAGGAAATGCAACACATCACCCATGAGGACTGGACTTGGTGAAAGACCGATTCCAGGAATCGGCTGTATCACCGATGAGCCCCAGATGCTTTGTGACAACTGATCTGATACCTATTAACATGAAAAGGGCCACCCGCTGAGCACCATCTTTTGTGTCAGGATCATGTCTCGGCTGAGCAGATCAAAGATGCTTTGGAACAAGTAGGTCATTCTTTCCACATCGAGGACGTGCCTTGGCGTTTTCTTTCGGCCCCCGAAACTCGGACACCGGCCCGGCCGGCCCGAACATATGCTGGAGTGGGTTAAGAGCAAGGCCCAAGGGGCCCAAGGTCTTGTTTTCCGTTGGAGTGTTATCCTCTTTGTCCGAAACTTTGATGAGCTTTGCTGCTTTAGAAGCTGTTTGGACATTTCTGAACAGAGCGCACACCGAACCCGTGTTTCACGAAAAGACAGTACGTCAAACGACGAGGCGACTCTTCGTCTCTTCGTTGGACTCGTTCGTTTTATAATCTTTTCTAATTCTAATTAAACTATAAACTATATTTTATATATTGTTTCTACTAGCTTCTTGTTACTACTAGTAAGGCACTTGTTACTACTAGCGATGCACTTGTTCCTAGTAGCTCTTCGTCTCTTCGTTGGATGTTTCTCCCAGGTGCAGCGTGCCATCCTCTATCTCGAGCCTGAAGCGGATCTTAGTGCTGTGGACTATCGGAAGCTCTTCCGTGATGCCCGGGGGCCACGTTTAGGGGGAGAAAGCGGAGTGGAGACGTGAAGGTGAACGATCGAAGAAGCCGAGTAGCTTCAACCAGCGATGGCCTCCAACCTGGAAGCAGTCAGAAATTGGTGCTTTTTTCCCGTTGATTCTGGTCAACACAACCGGGAAAAAGGTGCGACAGCTGGCCATCGGCGGGTACGTCATCAGGTGGTCACCAGCTTTCACGACGTCAGCGCATCCCGCTGAGGCGGTGGGAGCCGCGTGAAGGGAGTGGAGCACATGGCGTTATTGTTAGGTTTGCTCGAGATGCAAATGGTCAAGAAACGAAATAAAGAGAGAAGGAGAGCATCAGGAGAGAATAAAGAAAAGGCTTCCCAAAAGTGAAAGAAGGGACACAAAAGGCTTCCAAGAGCGCTCCAGTTCGGAGGTTTGTTGGTGAAAGAAACATCTCAGTTCGTTCAGTCCTTAGCAGCAGCAGTTTCAGTGCTTGCTAGCTTTTCAGCTTGTGGAACAGTCCGAATCTCTTCACCTTGGGCCTTGGGGTACAAAACCCTGGTAAAAAACCGTGGTTGGGTTTGGTGAAGTTGAGAAGCCGCTTGCTTCCGCACGCCACGGCCAGCGCCAGTACGGCTTCAGTGGCCAGCGAACATTGTTTCATGTCGCCGGCCCAGTGATGAAAAGAACAAACGCTGAAACACGCTGAAAGCTTGCTATTGCGAAGGCCAAGGGCCATCGGTTTCTTCGTCAACCAGGGCGGATTTGGCAAAAACTACCACCAGGACCACATCCAAATGAAGGAAACCCGACGTTCCGGCGGTTGGGGCTGACAAGTTGGACTGGCAAGCCACGAATGGGTCGTTTCCGGTGAAAACCCGGTTTCGTGGTGCGAACGAGAGTGAGCAATTTGGGTCCATCCAGGAACAAAGACGCTACGAATTTTAATTCTAATAGCTTCTTGTTACTACTAGCGATGCACTTGTTACTACTAGCGATGCACTTGTTACTACTAGCGATGCACTTGTTACTAGTAGCGATGCACTTGTTACTAGCTACGAACGTAACAAGGTGGTTCCAAAGAACCAGTTCATTCTCATGGAACGCATGGATGGACATGGATGTCGCAGGGACTTCGCTGGGACATGGAAACCTGGCGTCGATCTCTGAGGTCGGTCAAGCTCAAACAGCAGACTGGCAGCAAAGCTGCTGTGAAACCACAGGGCTCAGTTCTTTTCACCCACGTAATCAGAGTGCTGAGAGTGCTGATTTCGGCAGAATTGACCAGTTTTGTTCAAGAAACATCGTTTGACGTCTTGCATGTTTGCTTTGTTTTGCTTCGTCCAGATGTCTGGCGAGACTTTTCCGGTCGGGGCTGCAATCAGCAGCCACCAAGCACGGAGTCTGCTTGCATGACTGCAGCGTCCTGCACTCCGTGGGCAAATGTTGCTCGTGCTCCTCGTGCTCGAGCGCAATCAGTTCTCACCCCTGATGCTGAGTTGCGTCCCAAAGATCAATGACTTTGGAATCGAAATAGAGAAAATGAGAGAATGCTCGGTTTGCTCAGATTTGCTCGCTGAGACAACTTAACATCCATTTGCATGTCGAAACAGCCGAGACCAGGGACCAAAAACAGAGCGTTCACGCGCTGCGTGCGCTTTTGGAGAAGTCGCTGGGATGGAAAGACCTTGTCACAGCAAGGTCTTTCCATGTCTTTCCATGTAGAGACGGTCCGCTTTGTTCGTTCCCGAAATCCCACCGCTTCGATCCATTGAGGTGGACGGCGCTCCGGGATGGGTTCAGTGCGTCGCCGACGATGGTAACGAATTCTTCTACAACAAGGACACGTGTGTGGCGCGGTTGTGCGGCGCGGCTTTTTCGGAGAAAAAGAAAGATGTTTGCTCAAAAGCAGCGAGATCCTTGGCTTTTCCTTTTGGGTGTGTCTACTGCCCACGTCTTGTTTTGCGATGTTCTTTTCCGTTTGTTGTGTTCTTTCGGACTGTGTTTGGGCTTGGTTTCTTCAACGGAAGGTCGTGTCGAAGGTCGTTTGCATGGGAGGTTCTCTATGGGGTTGGACCATTGGATGACACAGAGGAGGACCCTGATCCTGCAACACCTACCAAGCTTCTGGATGACATAAAGCCCGCCAGGTTAACAAAAGATCGAATGCATCAAAGAAAACAGGGAACATCTCTGTTAAGAGAAGGCACGTGAAGCATGTGGTTTTGTTTCTTGTCTTTCTTTACGTAGAAAACGTGGTTTGTTTGTGAGAAAGAAGACAAGGCTCGACGCCACAGTTCGACGCCGGATGCGCCGAGGGAGGGTTGGACTCGCCAGGAGACCGGTGAGTCGTCCTGGGATGCGCCTGAGTGAAGACCGGTGACCAGTGAGACTGAGACCAAAGATGCACCAAAATGCGCGCCACGCTGCAGTTGTTCTGTCGTTTTGGGTGTCCTTTTTGCTCGCTCCAGCCTTTTCTTTCCTTGATTGGGGAAGAGGATGGATTTTTGGAGATGCATGTTACTTGAGTGCGTTGTTTTAACTGGTTTCTTTTCGAGTTTCTTTCTTTCTTTCTTTCTTCAGTAGAATGAGGAGTAAATTTGGGGAACGGCAGTGATGGAAGATTGGCACTTGGCCTGTGTTTTGGCATACAGATTGCCAATTTCCCGGCCGCAACTATTAGGCAGAAAGATCAGATAGATTACCAACCATCGACAAGGGGAGGATTTGGGTGATTACCGTGACCATCGTGTTTGGTAACTGACTAGTGACCACGGTCAGCTCTTGTGAAGAGAAATGAATAGCCCACTTGAGTAGCAAGTATGAGAGAAGATACCTTGGGAAACCCCAAATGAGCCGCCAGATCCGAACATCCAGCAGCTGCAAGTTGCAGTGGGACCTCTAAAGTGAATCGCCTCATCTTGGAAGCATGCTCTTCCATGTAAACAAAAATGGATACAAGGACGCTACGAACGGGGCTCCTGGCCTTACTACTAGGAGCAAGGAAGGACGCTACTAGGAGCAACGGGAATCGCTTTCAGAGACTTCGAAACTTTTACTTACTTGTTCCTAGTAGTAAGGCCAGGAGCCCCGTTCGTAGCGTCCTCTTGTTCCTAGTAGTTTGCGGATGGCAGCTTTGTGAACAAGACTCGTCGACTCAGAAAGACTCCAGCTTCTCAAGAAGCTGGATGGAAGTCATTCAACGCACAAAACCTGCCTCCGGCCTGGCTCACAAGCTCAGCAGAACAACCGCGAGCGAAGAAATGCTCGCGACCCAAGACAAGTCTTTCTCAAATATCGTTCCACGACCTTAGTTTTTTGCCCAGGTTGCCCTGTAGCTACTGAAAACAAACTTCAAAAGAAGAACTCCACAGCCCACAGCCCTTTTCCAAAAGCAACATATCCGCAGATCTCTCAAGTGCCGAGTTTGCAAAGCCCTCGGTGTGGAGAAGAAAGGCCAGCATGTGTTTACCCTGTCTCTTAGGACGCTATGGTTTTTCAGAAACGAGATTGAGTGTCCTTGTGGCTCAAATGACCGAACCATTTTTCTACAGACAAAAGTACTACTTGAAGCAGTACTACTTGAAGATGTTCAGAACAACTGAAAACAAATGTTTGCCGCACAGTTCGGTTCAGGATGATGGTCTCTGAGGAGGAACGGGCCAAGCAGTGCCTCGGCTTCTAGGTCCGTTCGATGAAAAACACGTCCGTCTTGGTGAAGCTTTGGATCAAATACCCGTCGTTTTCACGGTTTTGTTTGGCATGTGGGTGGCAGCTGAATTCAGTTTGCTTGCCGGTTCGTCATTTTCCAAGAGTCCGTTGCGAAAGAAAAGAAAGAAAGGAAGGTCTTGTTTGGGATGCATCACGGTCTGGTTTGGGTTTGGATGGAGAAATACCCACCAACGTCCAGGGTACGAACAGTCCAGACATGTTTGGCCCATTCAAGCCGCCGAACAGACACTCCGAGGAAAACGTTCGGAAGTGGAGTGAAATCCACCTGTTTGGTCTTCGAATTTGCTCGAAATCGGGGTCAATTTCCATCCACGTTGGCCCATGATTTCAGGGAGTGTTTTTTGATATGTTTTGGGCCGAGCCTCATCCGAGGAGCCGATATCAATTGGACCACCGAGCACTTCTCTTTGGGCCTCTTGGGCTGGCAGAAGAAACTTTGAAGCAAAAATGGGCAACAAGAATGTACAGCTACACAGGCATTTGGAATCGGCCCCCTGCAAATAGTATTGTGATCTTCTTTACATTGGTTCAGCTTGGGCCAGCTGCTCTTAGACCCCTCCAACTTCACACATGGCTAGCGTCCTCAATCTCCAGGCGAAGAGAGATGTCTTCTCTTTGAAAGGATGTCTTCTTGGTCCTTTCCGAACCTTCCGTTTCTTTTAAAATGTGAGTTGTCATGGCTGGTTCACCCACACTCTTCAAGGTTCAACCTGTCCTTTTTCTTGAAAAGGGGCCGCTCACCTTCCACCAAGCTTCACCTTAAGCCGCTGCCAGGTCCCGTTTCGGTCGCAGCAATTGCGTGAACCCCAAGGGCCAGGCGTTGTTCGCGACGACGAAGACGGTTTGACCCATGACGATCGATCCAGGTGACCGGTGATTCTTGCGGTTTTGGTGCAAATAGCGGTATGCAGCTTCCATTCGCTTCGCTTTCAGGTTTTGCTGGTTTTGCTTGTGAAAACCCTGTCTGTATTTCAAGGCTTTACTTCGCAGCTGTACATGATTGATGTGTGCTGATCCCACCCACGGCCTGCGGACAGGCAGCTGCAGCTTTGTATGCTGCGGCAGAGCAGGATGCACTGGAGGAACACAATGAGGAGACAATTCAAACAACAAGAACGCTACTAGTAACAGGTGCATCGCCACTAGTAGTGTCTTTTTTTGCAATTCAAACGACCGATCGCCTTATTGTAGGTTGGGTGAAGGAGGGATGCTCAAACGGATGTCTTGTTGGCATACCTCAGACAGAAGATGACCTTTGTTCTTCCATGTGGGCCTTGGGGCTGGACCGAAGATCGCCTGATTGTGTGCCTCTTTGACAGGAGATGACGGAAGAGTTGGCCAAGAAAGTGAGTGAACTCAAGGAGGTCAGCCTCAGCAGCTTGGAAGAGAAGAGTTATTTCGGCCCTGGCCTTTTCGTTTCAATTTCTAGTAGCTTAAGTCCATCTTGATGGTTTCACCTCTTTTTGTTTTTGGCCCAGGGGGGTAGGTAGGTAGGCCGCTAGAAGAGGTAGAAGAGATAGCTAGTAGCTTAAGTAAGCTTCGAGGAACTGGATGCAGGATAGCTCACGCTTCTAGGAAGCTCCCCGCGCCTGAGAGTGGAGGGAAGCTTCGGAGAAGCGCTCGCACTAAAGATTTGGTTCCTAGATTTTTTGGAAAACTTCACTGTTTTCTTTAGAGCCTGTGTGTTTTCCGTGTTTCTTTGGACGTTTTTCTTTTTGTTATTTAAACGTGTTGTTTTATGTTTCTTTATAATTTCTTGTGTCTATTTTTCTTTGGACTTGTTCTTCGTACTTTCCTTAGATATTCTTCTTCAGGCGATTTTTCATGTGTCTTTAGACCTTTTGTTGTTTTTCTTGCTTTGGGCCGTTTTTCTCTAAACTTGTATGTATATTTCTTTAGGCATTGGTTCTGTCTTTTCGACATGTTTTTCTTTAGACCTTTCTATTTCTTGTTTGTTGCCTTTGTATAGACTGTTTGTTCTTGCTTTTCTTTAGGCATGGGTTTTGTTTTCTTTATATTGTTTTCTTGACGTGTATCCTTTCCTCTGGTGTTTTTCTATTGACATTGTTTCTGCTCTGGACTTCATGTTTGTCTTTAGACCTTTCCTCTTTATTTATGTGTTCTTTCTTTCTGTCTTTCTTTGTTTCTTTTTCTTTTGGTTTTTCTCTTTCTCGTTTCAGTTTCTCTTAAGAGGTGTCCATCTCGAGTGATCTTGGCGGAGTTGCATCAGGCATTGGAGAGGAGACCAAGGACTCGAATCATCAATTGGAGGAGATGGATACGTGACCTGACACAAAACGAGGATCAAAGAAACCGAGGAACTTCTTTCAGAGTCAATGAGACCATGCTTTTGCCGCAGAACGGCCCTCACGTTTGACTGACTGAAAGTCGGGCTGGCTGTAGAAGAAACTTACATGTCTTACAAAGATTTAATCCCAGCTTTGTTGGTTGACTGGTTCTCAGCCAGGTTGCTCCATACTCAAAAAGAAACTTTGGGTTAGATTTGGCTTGAGGTTCGGGGGTCATGTTTGGCAACGCGAACCAAAGTCATCAAGCAGCTGGTTTCCAGCAAAATGTGAGGTAGGTGTCTCCCAGGACCTGTTCCAAACTGAGATTAAGATTAATTGAAAAGGGTCAAATGAAACTGCCAGGGCTGAATCATCCAAAGGATATGTATTTTTGGCGCTTTTGTTTTGTGTTTTCACCCTGAGCCTCCTGTGTGTTTGGTGAGGCATTTCACCCGCGCGCGCCAGCTGCTTTCAAGCGCAAGCTCGCGCTTGCAGAAGGTTGCAAAGAACCCCAACACTCGTCACATGTGTGCGATGCTTGACTGTGAAGATTCAATTGACATACTCTTTGGCATGTTTCATTGCGTTCCCCAATAGCCAAGAGTTCATTTTGCGTGAAGCGATAACCTTCTTTTCGTTCTCTTTCAGGATGGTCCTGTTTTCTCTCTTCTTGTTGCTGCTGATCTACTTCTTCTGCTTGGCTGCGGCCCGCTCAAAGGGAGGCCCTTCCATATTTCTTGCTCCAAATCGGCCTAGTGTGAGTGGCAGTGGCCTGTTTGCACGTTGGACCGTTTGGGGGAACTGTGCCTGGTTCGACTCTCTCACGGATCTCGCGAGGCGAAGCGTTTGGGACTGCTCTGGTTTTTCTTTTAAAGCCCCGGGTAGGCTGAGGTAGCTAGCTTAAGTAAGCTACTACATATGGACGCAGGATAGCTCACGCACTAATGATTTGGCTCCTAGATTTTTTGGGAAACTATCCATGGCTCCATGGTTTATCCTGAAGTATGAACTTGGTGATGTTTCAATGGCTGACTTTGCTATGTTCAAAGGCGTGAAGGTAGGAAAGTCTTTGTTTGGCTGGTTGAGGGACAAAAAGGATACTTTATTTGTTCAAGGTTCCTCCTTGAGTGATTTCACATACAATGCTGCGCTCAGGTGACACTCGGCTATAATGCACCTTGAGTGAGAAGAGAGGTTAACAGTAGCTTGACCTTCAACTTCAACGGCCAGTCCTTTGAAGCAAGACATGCCCATCCCATGGACCATTTGGCAAGAGATTTGAAGAGGAAAAGTCCTGCCAATGACGGGCTGCCCGGAATTGTGCTTTAGCACCAAGGTAGCACTCAGTGTGTGACCGCAAAGAATTTTTGTGGCTTCATTGTACAGAGGCAGAAGCCCGTTGCACAGAGTTGCTTTGCTCGCAGCAGCATGTTGCAAAGTTCAGAACTGATTGGTTTTGGTAACTAAAAGGGCACGGCACAATGTAAGACAAGCTTCTTGGGCTCCATGTTGTTTTCTTACCTGTTCAGTTTACAGCTGCCTACAAGATTGCATTCCTAAGGTAAAAAACCAGGACTCAATTTTGGATATATTTGTTGGTTTGAACATGTTTGCACTAGTTTCGCAAACAGGAACTTCCAACACGGAGGATAGACCTTTCTCAACAGATTGATGGCAGTTCCCAACCCCTTTCCAAAGCTTTAGTGACTTGGAGGTTGAAGAAATCAAAATCTTTCTCGAACGCAGCCCTGACCATAGTAGCTTCGTAGAGGACATCGTCGTCGTAATCGTCATCGTCATCATCGTTATCATCATCTTTGCCACGTGTGACGGATAGGAAAAACAAAATAATCGAATCAAAACCAATACACCGTATGTGTTCGCCACTTGTTTAGTAGGCTTAGCCAGGCTCATTTCATTGGTGATCCGGACCAGTTGCCAGGGTGAGCACGTACAGTCTGCTCTCTCCCATTTACATGCTGTTTGCTGAGTGAGGTGGATCAGCGCACCTGTGGGATTGAAAGTGAAAAGCGCTGTTTGCTTTTCTCCGTTGGCTTCTTGGTTGGGCCATCACTAGTAGGGTGGAGGCACCAGTAGGGTGGAGACCATCGCTAGTAGGTTGGAGGCCATCGCTACTAGAATTACATAGATGGTTTCTGACCTTAGTTGGCTTCTGATTGCGTGTTGCACTGAACGTTCAGGGTCAAAACACGATTGAGAACCTATGCGTACAGGGCGCAAAATCGATGGACACGATCGATCACGTCCAGAAGCGTTCATTCACGACCGACAGCTTCGTGCTGCAGCCCGTGCTCGGCCCTGCTCCCTGCTCCCTGCTCCCGCTGTTCAATGGCGCGTTCTCCTGCTGTTCTGGCTTTGCTTTTGATATGCAGGGCCCAAGAATGGGACCATCTCTTCGACGAGTCCACCCAAGCAGTCGACCGCAGAATGCAGGCCTGCATGAAGGTCAAGTTCAACTGTTTCAGGGAAGGTTCCCTTCATATGTTGTATTAAAAATGTTTTGACAGCCTGTCGTGAACAGGCTCTGCCGGATGGTTTTGAAATCAACGAGACCTTGAATGGCAGCATCCCGCTCACGGTCATCCCATCATGGGATGTTTTCTTGGCATTCAGTGACAGGGAAAAGTTCATCAAAGGAAGAATGTCCATTGCAACGATTTATGGAGAGGAAGCAACCACCTTTGTCGCAAGGATGTATTGAAAATGTGTTTGCTGAAATTGTGAATTTCTTTGGCTTCGGCAACTTAAGTGGATTGGTGAACTCATTTGGTTTTGGTGAAGCATGTGACACACGAAAGTGAGGTGCGATTGATTGAGATGCTGGATTTTCGTCGAAGTCAAAAAGTTGCAATAGGGTTGAGGCCATTGCTTCTTAGTCTGAATGTTCCTAGGTCACCAACCCAGAGAACATGGTCGACGTCGTGAACTTTGGCTCCGGCTCCGGTGATATTAGCGTTCTGAGCTCGCTAAGGCAAGAACTGTTTGCCTTATGCGCTTGTCAGCAAAAACAGAGTGATGAAGACAAGAACTCTTTGTTGGGTATTTTGTTGTTTTTGTTCCACGCTACTAGTAACAAGTGCCACGCTAGTAGTAACAGGTGCCTTACTAGTAGTAACAATGTTTGCTATTAGTAACAAGTGCCACGCTACTAGCTTTTGTTGCTTCGTTTTGGACCTTTCGAGCTATCGAAGGCTTTGGGACCCAAAGACCGGAAAGCAAGCCACGAGCGTCAGCAAGACTTATGTGGGCCAGTCCTCCGACTGGTTTTAGCGGGATAGCTGATAGCTCACGCTTCAAGGAAGCTCTCGGCTGAGGGCGAGGGGGGAGCTTCCTTAAAGAAGCGCTTCACTTTTTCCTGTTCATGTGGTTTCTAGATTTGTGTGAAAACTGAACTCTGAGTTAGAACACATCACCAATTGTTGGCACTCAGCCTCAGGTTCTCCCAATCGTTGTATTCGTACGACTTGTCATGCTACCCCTTTGACGTGAAGACTATGCACTTTGAGATTGCCCTGCAAAAGCCATGTGGCATTTTCTACCGCCTGGTCTTGGGATGCGCCGGGGAAGGAAGGGTTTTTTTCAGTTTTTGCACTGTTCACATCCAACGGCATGATGTTTGGTGTGAAACCTCACACTGGCAGGAAGTATCCCGACAATTGGCCAAGATGGTGTTGTGGAATGCTCATGGCCAATCAATGCTTCCTATGTAAACTTTGATTGGGACTATTTCACTTGCAAGTTGCAAAACTCGGCGACCATCACTTGTGCGATGACGGGCACCAGGCATTGGGCTGCCTTGTTGAAAACTTACATATGGCTCCTTGGGTTAAGCGCCAATTTTTGTGATCGTGTTAATTAACTGATGTTTGTTTTGTGCTCACAATCTTTGGCTTGATCATTATCCAAGGCCCTCAATCATTTACGGCTTGATGGGATTCCTGGCTTTCACCTTGGGCGTGAAGCTTGCCATGCCTCGGGTGGCCACGACTATGCTGGCCTTGTTGTCATTGACAAACCTTAGAAACCAGGTCATCGGATTGCTCCCGACCACTGATTCGGCAAGTTGGATGGAAGAGTATTTTCTGATTGTTGCTTGGAGAAAAGAAGGTGTTGTTTGATTGTTCCATCCAGAATATAAAATGTGTTTGTTAGGGTTGTTTGATGGGGAGACTGTAGTCTAGTTGCCAGTTGTGACCATTTGAGGCTATATCCTTCATGCTTCTCAACTTGCTTGGCCACGCAGCCTCCTTTCACTTGGATGCGAGCGGGCGCCATCACACACAAAAGATGATGAACAAGTTCAATCTTTGGGGAGTGTTCTCCGTTTTCGTGCTGGTGGTTCTTGTGCGATTGCACACCAGGAATTGCCCGCTCATTGACCCAACAATCTCTTTGACCATGACCCTCTTGGCAGCTCTGGTGTCTTTGTCGATTGTCCTTTTCCTTGTTTGGTATCATCGACAAGCCTTCCGCGAGGCAACACATAAGCTCACACACAGCGTTGCTTCAGCCAGAGGCTCCTTTCACGACGACAACGTTTGATCCTTGGGCCGAGGGTTCTAATTCAGACATGTCCCAGGATTAACTGACATTGGTTCATTCAAGATTGGGTCGAGCCCAAGATTTTCAGATCCGCATGTTTGGTAAGTTTTGCGTTTACAGCGTGCCCAGATAAGGGCGAGTCAGAGCTTGACCTGAGCTGGCACATGCATAGAACCAAGCACAAAGCTATTCCATTCACAAGACATTGGCCGCACAAAAGGATTTACTCAATTCTAAAATATTGATTAAATTACCGAATTATTAAGCATTCTAAGGTTTGGTATTCTTTTCCGAATGTATTCGTATAGAATGAGGTGTTTCTTTTTGAGATTATGGACAAAATTGATTATTAAGATATTGAAGTGTAACGGATTAACGACTCTTAAATTATCCCGCAAAAAAGTAGAGGAACTAAAACTGCATGCTATTGAAGCAGTACGAATTTTGCTTCGCTAGTCGACTAGGTTGATAGTGCCACCATGGTCAAGCGGTCTCTCTTGCGAGGCGATGGTGTGATTTCCAAACTGCTTCTTGTGATCTTTTCTTTTAAATTTTGTTCTTAGTAACTTCTTGTTATTACTAGTAAGGCATTTGTTATTAGAAGCGATGCACTTGTTCTTAATAGCCTCTTGTTATTATTAGTATGTACTTCAGGGTCTAAGTTAGATATGCGATGATCCATATAGCTTCTTTAGGGATCCTTTACAGCTGCCTATGTCCTTGTACTTGGAGCTCTGGAGCACGATGCGGTTGGTGTCTTTAAAGTCACCCACGGTCGGATTTTGTTGACGTCGTTGGGCTTGATACACAGCAAATTGTAAATCAGGAAGAATTTGCTTCGTTAGCTAAGACAAACATCCAATGCCGTGCGGTTTTCTTCCTTCTGCTCTGGAGAGGCCAGGTCATAATTTTTTTGATTTTGATTGATTTCTACCCGTTCCACACGATTGCTGATGTAGACCTTTTGCAAAATGTAAACCTTTTCTTTGGTGCATTGGTACTCGCAGCCCACGTACTCGAAGTTGTTATTTTCCCACTTATCAATGGGAAATTGTCATTTTACTTTGCACTTTGTCCGAGAGGTCTGTTTCGGCCATGATCATGATATCATCCACATGGGTGAGCAAGAGACCTTGAGTGCCCCTTTTCCCAGTCAGCATGAAGACACATGGGTTGGTGGTGTTCTACTGGTGGACAGTCCGATGACACCTTTCAAGACTTCGATCAGTTGCCCAGGTTGCAGTCCAGGAATGCCTCTGTTTGGTTGCCGGAAATTCTTTGGGGCTGGAAGGCCCATTGAGGAAGGCCGAGCGGTTGTCTCCAACTCCCACTCTCCACTTCCTTCTCAATGCCACTTGGAGTGTCGTGACACAGTAGAGCGTCGGTGGACATTTTCATGCGCCCAAAATCCCATTATCCAGCTGTGCACAGTCTCGGCTTTGCCTGGGATCCACTGTTGGGTCAGACTTGCGTTTCACATGGTTCTGGTTTTTGTCGAGGAAGCGGCAGTCTAAGGTCTCCACCCTTTGATTCTTCCAGCCAGAGAGCTCGAACAACTTGGAAGTCCACATGTCTTCGTCCTACACAGAGATGTTTTTCATTGTTTGGGATGGTATGCAACTCCTTTTTTAAGTTGTTTCTTTCTGCCACCAGCTACATGAGCCTTCGTGGTGTCGTTTTGGTGCTGGATATTCGCATTCCTCATCTTTATTATTTCTTGCGTGTAAAGTGATCATTATTTTCTTGTTATATATTTCTTTTATCCTATTTGCAGTAATTTTCCCGAATGCGTAGCGAAGGGTGTTCGCGTTGCTTGCGTCGTGTCGTCGTCACGTCTTAAATTTGCTGTCATTGGCGGAAGCTTTTGCACGTAACTTTTCATGGATGTGTTACGTGTTAGTTTGCGCCGCTATTCTGTTGTAATTTATATGACACCGGCATGTCGCGCAAGAAACGTGATGCCTTTCCCTGCATATGCGCAGGGTTTTGTGAGATCCCTAGTTTGTTGCGCAGTGCTTTTGGAATCAACGTTCGGAAATTCGTGTCTTGGGGTGTGGGATGTGACCGTGCCATTGGGATTTGCGTTTTAGGGTGTGGCATCGAAGCTCTCTTGTCGTGACAAGTTTTAGCTGAAATGGAGAAATTGTAAATGTGAGGTGTGGTGTAAAATTTGTTGAAGCTCATATGCGACGATACTGTTACTTTTCATGGTAGGCGCGGGGAATCGTGAGGTTGCGAGGTGTGAGGGAGGTGACATTTCGTGGCAGGCGCAGTACTTTGTACGGGTTAAATACATGGATGAGGAAAGATTCGTGGTAGGCGCAGGGAATTGTGAGGTTATGAATCATGATAGAGGTTAATGTCGCTGTTACATTGGGATTGGCGTGTGAGCGGGTTGTGTTTGGAGGGGTTGGAATCGCGAAACTGCTTGGTAGGGCTGCGTGATGAGTTTTCGTTTCATTTTTGGAGGAAGTCTCGTACAAAACGCTGGTTTTGCAGATTTTGACGTGTGAGTTTTGAGGAAATTTGGCACGAAATGCGCAACTCTTTTCCGAGATCGTGCGTGTCGAGTGTGCGAAATGTAGGCACGAGTGCAATTTGACCCATGCGCGCGCAACCCTCTGCGGAGATCGTGCGTGTCGAGTGCGCGAAATGCAGGCAAGAGGGCGATTTGTCCCACGCGCGTGCAACCCTCTGCGGAGATCGTGCGTGTCGAGTGCGCTAAATGCAAGCGAGAATGCGATTTGTCAGGTGCCCGGGCAACCCTCTGGGGAAATCGTGCGTGTCGAGCGCGCGAAATGCAGGCGAACACTGGCGACTTTGTAGTCCAACTTCAGTGTGCGCGGTATCTGGGAGCTAGAAGATGAGAACTGGTGACTATTACTTTCCCTCCTGCAGCGCCTCTCAGAACTCGAAGCTGCCTGGTTGCTTCTCCTTTTTTGCGCCAACCCACGGCGCCACTGCCACTTCCGGATGCTCCCCCCAAAATCACAGCAACATTTTCCACGGAACGCGACACAGCAGTTGCAGAATGCCTCGCTAGTCTGTTGGACACAGCCCCAATGCCAGTCACCTCACTGGCACTGGCCCACTGAACGCGGAGCAATCTGTGGAGCTGGAAGCTAAGAACTGGCGACTTTGTAGCACAACTTGAGTGCGCGGAGCAATCTGGGGATCTGGAAGCTGAGAACTGGCGACTTTGTAGCACAACTGCAGTACGAGGAGCAATCTGGGGATCTGGAAGCTGAGAACTGGCAATTTTGTAGCATAACTTGAATACCCGGAGCAATCTGAAGATATGGAAGCTGAGAACTGGCGATTTTGCAGCACAACTTGAATACGCGGAGCAATCTGTGGAGCTGGAAGCTGAGAACTGGCGACCTTGCAGTACAACTGTAATACGTGGAGCATCTGAGGCGCTGGAAGCTGAGAAATGGCGACCTTGTTGTACAACTTTGCAGTAGCTGGAAGAGACTCCTGCAAAAATGTCTCCCAACAGTGTCCCACTGGTAGCTGCAGAATCCGGTTGCCTCATTAAAGAGGTCTCCCAGGACATGGCTCCTAGGGCGCGCTGCTAAAGCCGACGTGTTGTCGGCTCCGCGACCAATGGGAAAGACAGGGTTCACAAACCAAGTCTCATCCTAAGTACGCTCGAAGTTCCGAAGGAGAAACGGACGTGAAGTGAAAGGTGTAAACCGCTTTTTTGGCCTTGGTCGAACTCAAGGGCCCTTTTTGGTACCCATGAACCAAAGGTCGCGAGTGTGGCTGTTTCTGGGCCACAAACGCATAATATCCCTCGAAAAATCCACCAATCTATTCCGTTTCTGTTCGTTACAACGGAACAGGCTTTAATGATTAAAATATCAATGATTTTTCTATTACCACAAGAATCCCTCCATATATTTCCAATGGACACCATTGTGGGACATTCCTGTGGGACACTCCACTCTTGCGGGACACTGCAGGGCACTCTTGTAGTATACTCTTGCAGAAAACTCTTGTGGAACTCTTGTAGGACTCTCCTGAGACGCACCACCACCGACTTTGATTTCGGAATGCACCACTTAGGCAAAAAATGCGAAGCAGTTTGGCCTGCCCTAAACGTCACCTTTCGGCGATGGCAACGCATTGTGGTTCTCCCTTGCGACAGGGTTCAGCGGATATGCACCATGGTTTTCAGTTTTTGTCGTATATTGAAAGTTTTAATTTATTTAAGTTTCTTTTTGGCTTCAAAAAGAATTTAAACACTTTTTTGAAACACAAAAACTAATTGTTAAAAATATTTGTTTTTGATGTATCCCCAAGAACCGCGAAGGGTTCTTCGTAAAACAACATCTGCAGAACTATGCTTGATTCTTAACCTCTGAAGAGTGAGTGCAAAGTGAATACTCGACACGAACAAAGATCCTGATGTACCTAGGCCTTCCTGCCCCTTTTTCTTTCTTGCGCTTTTGGTCGTTTTCTTGTGCTTTCTCTCAGGCTTTTGAGATTTCTCTCTTTCGTTTCTAAGGCTCCTAGGTGAGGGTCCAGCTGCAACATCTTCATGGCACATTGCAAACAAGTAAGAGGCCAGACTGTTGTTGCCACTTCTGCAAGCAAACGAGGCGTCGGAATGAAACGATGAAATTTGTTTCTTCTTTTGTTCCGAGAGGTGCCGGTGGTCATTTGGCGTGTTTGTATTGTTGGTCTTGAAGTCTGTCCGGCGAACATGAAAAATTCCGGCTTGTCGATGTGATTGTTTATACAATCCGCCATGAGGCCACGAAGCAAAGATCGTTCAGGGTTTGTGGTGATTGAGATGGACTTGCCTTTCTTAATTTAGTCCTCCTTTACGGTACATTCCATCGTCTCTTTATATCAGACACGCCACATAATAATCGAAATCCAAACCCATAGAATCAGAAATAGGACCACCTCCAACTTCAATGTCAGAAGTACCACCGGCACCCAATGAGAATCCATCGGCCCCTCGCTTTCGGGGCCAGTCGCCACGCCAACGTCGCCCCCTGCAATCCCAGCCTATGCAGGTCGATGATGGCCGTCTGACCCGGATTTTCTGACCTGTCTTCGGATGCTTGTATAACGATCCCGCCCGGCACCGGGCATCCATGGCATCGATATATGCTCCCATCAGTTCGTATTTCGCCTCTTACTTGTCAACTCTAGCTCTTTGCTACTAATATATTTCCCAAAAAATAGAATTATATATAGCCGTATTCCGGAAAGGTGGGAAATTCCATTAGAGGCATCCATCCATTAAAGTGCCCAGAAAAAGCCCCGCCTAACTAAATATACGAAAAACATATCGATTCTCGAAACCTTTAGACACCAAAAATCAAATTAACGTGGGCCGCGACCCCCAAAATTACAACGTATATTACGATCGTAATCAAAAAATAAAGAAAAAAACAAACAAACGAATATAAACTAACAATTAATTTAATAACGAATATATAAATAAACCGATATAAAAAAACAAATAACCCAATCCAATTCATTAAAATCTAATAATAATTATCAATAATATACGTATCATTACGATTATAAATATATTAAAAAAATATAAATACTTAAATCTTTATTATAATATTTTTTTCAATTAATTTATTAATTCAAAATTTATAAAAAATTACATCCGGAATTTATTACAAAAGTTATTGCGAAATATATTTAAAACTAAAAAAACAATATATAAATTTCGGATTTATTAATTTTAAATTTAGTAATTATATATATATATATATTTTTTTTTTTTGTTTTAAATTTTTTTTTTTAATTTTTTTTTTTTATATTATTAATATTATGAATATTTTTTTAAAAAAAAAAAATATAGTCAATAACATGCCATAAGGAATCATGCATCAAAATAATAACCTAAAGGCAATCCTATGCAAAAAATCATCGAGGCGCTCATTCTTTTGTACCTCTCCTGAAAAATACTTGCAAAATCCTCTGCTTGGCAGAAAATAGAGCAAATTCCCCTTGTGAAATCGTTTTGTACAAAAGCCATGCTACTACCATATGCTGCCATGGCAACTGCCTGTATTAACCCACTTGCTTACACCTCAATGCCCAGCTTCTGGCAAATGGCTGTCATCATGCGAACCAGCAGGCGAGCTTTCAGCCTTGTCGACAGGCTCTCGAAATTCAAAAGAAGATTGTTATTAGCGTTTTGCTTTTAAAATTCAAGCGCTTGCACTATTCACTTGGTTCCTAGATTTTTGGGACCCGTACTTTTCTGCTCAAAACCAGTGCAAACTACGTGTAGCAAAAAAGTCATAGGAATTAATTGTTCTGAGTGTTCCTGCCTGATGGCGATGATATCAGTCTTTGATGCGGGGCCTCGACATTTCAGCAAGCCATCGATCATCTCCTCGATGTGCCATTGGAAATGGATGGAAAGAAAATAGAAAGATTCATGAACATTCAATGCAACGTGCAATGTTCCGTGCAAGTCCCTCATTGCTCCTCGAACTCCAACTCTCCACTCATATCCGCATCGAGAACGTCGAACAAATCCTGACCAATCAAAGTTGAAACATGAAACTAATGAAGTCTCAATTCGTAGTAGCGATGCCAGGAGCCCCTAGTAGCTTCTTGCTCCTATCCAAAGTCTCAATATCGAGTCGCTAAAGTCTTGACCAAGAATCTGATTTGCATGACAAGTCAATCTCGGCATCATCCAAGGTTTCAAGCAAACCGTCGTGGGAGGAAAGCCAGTGGTTGAACTCGTCCCTGGTCACAACTACGTCATATTCAGCCATGTCTTCCCGAATCTTATCAGTCAAGTCTGCATATTCAAAGGTCGAGGTTGGCTTGCTGTACCTTCACTCAAGGGCTGAGTTCTATTCACACTGCACAAATCAATCATTCGGCCTTTTGAGAAAACACAAGGGGCATTTGTAACTAAAAAAAAGAGGTAAGAACTACATTTTGAAGCAATGCCACAGCCCTCAGGGATACCCTCATGATCTGTTCTTCTGAGGATTCTTCAAGGAAGCTGTTTCAACTTTTTTAAACATCTGGAAATCAAAAATTAGAAACAATAAGCTACTAGGAACAAGTGTAACAAGAAGCTACTAGGGACTCTCTCCTTCTTAAGGAAGATCCCCCTGATCTGAGGCGGGGAGCTTCCTTGAAGCAGCCTCAACAAAGAGAGCGTCCAAGCGGAGCAGCTTTTCACCCCCCACCCCCACAAAGACATGAGAGGGAGGCCGGGGAAACAAAGGAAAGGAAAGTAAGAACAAACTAAGCAACAAAGAAAAACAGTTTGCTCTTCCGAGTTTCAGGTTTCGGAGTTCTTCCCACTTTTCTCTGAAGATCTTTGAGACTCGTCGGGCGGTTCCAGGTGGTCCACTGGCCGCCTCTGCTCGCGCCTGGTCAGATTCAGTTCCACAACTCAAACTTCTCTCAAGAAGTTTCAGTTTCTGTAGCAAATAGTTTGGAGGCCATCGGTATTAGCTTGGAGGCCATCGCTCAAAGGTTCAAAAAACATCATGCTTTGTGGTCAGCCCAAGTGCTAATCTTTGGAGTGGAGTTGTGGAAACACACCTCCAGCATATTAACCATGCCCACAAAACGGACATACGGAACTCCCGCTGCTACTTGTGGCACTACCTAGTGCTTCCGAACATAAAAGAAAAAGGACACGACAAAAGAAGGTAAGGGTATACTTCTTTTCAATGCCCCATATTATTTTCTCCCATCATTTCCCAAATTTGAAGATCGGAACTGACCTCATCTTCAGCAACTTTGCGGAGAACCTTCTGAAGAATGATATTTCCTCAGGCACAAATCATCAGACTTGGCTTCAGATATCTAGGATGAAACTATGCCAAATGTGAAATTCATCTCAAACTAACAATCTAAACCAAAAAGGCAAAGCACAGTTTGTGAGATTCTTCAGCTTCATTTAGACTTACAAGAGTTGTAGAAGCGATTGGAAGCGTCCCTGGCCTCCAAAAAACAGTGTTCAAAAAAAGGTAGGGCAAAAGAATTGAAGAAACAAAGCGATGGCCTTTGGAGTCCAAAAGCCTCGTTGGAGGCACAGAAGGAAGGTCTAAATAGTAAAAGGCATTGCAGGTCTTACACAAAAAGTTGCAAAATATGAGGAACAAAGTGGGAATCGAAGGTTTTCGAATCCAAAAGGAGTCGGACGTGTCGAGTGGCTCAAAGTTGCAGCGATCTTCCACGCGTTCTTTGGCGCATTTTGCCCGAGCTCCCGCTGCCTGTATTGCTTTTCCTTTCATTTCAATTTGTAATCTTGACTTACCCTTTTCTCTTTTTCTATTGTTCTATTCTTCATCTTTCTTCTGTTACTCCTTCTCCTTTTCATAAGATTACTTATTCATGGTGTAAAAGCCAAAGCCAAATATCTTCTAGGAACCCGTTTTACACCTTTGAGTCCGCCATCGGCCGTCGCTGCCTGCCTCTTCTTTGTGCAACCATCTGTGACATTGTCAATGAATACAGCCTGCAGGGGATGGCGCTTCCATCTAACCATGGAACCACAGGGTGAACGCAATCAGTCGATCACAGGATTGAACAATCAGAACCGTTCAGCATAACTCCGCTGCAGCGCGTTCCCTTCATTTACAAAGCATTTTCCGGACATGAAGTTGCCTTGAAACTCTTTGTATGGCATGACCTTTTGCATGTCTTGATGCAAGACATATTCTTCACCAACAAATTCAACGTGGTATTCTTATTCTTCTGTGGGTGATCGTTTTCCACAGGAGGCACACTCTGCGTGGTTTGAAATATGTGTTGAATTGCATAGCTTTTTCAAGGAATAGGTTTAAGGGAAAATCTAGAGGAAACCCTTGTTTTCATCGCCAAAATTATAGGTTTTCTGTAGGTTCTCCCTTAAACCAACTCTGGGACTTTTCCAAATGTGTGGAGCCGAGCTTCCCTAACAATCTAGGAGCCAAATGATTGGTGCGTCGTCCTAGTGGCGAACTTCTCACTTACTTAATCAAGTAGGCGCGTACTTAATTAAGGAGGCAGGGCAAAGCGGGCTAAAAACATATAAACATACCTCATGGCGAGCCAAACACAAAAACTCAATTAGCCAAGGCGCCATGATCAAATTGAAGATTCCAATGGTGACCTCAAAACAAATGTAGGGCATGTAAGGTATTCTTGCAGTATGCGTTGATATTTTGTAATCAAGAAACATATAACATATTTTAATACCGTTTACGGGCCAAATTCCAAGTGGCAAATAGAAAGAGAAGAATGTAGACCATCATGAAGATTCCCCCATATTTCCTCCTCAGGGTCTCCTGCACAGAACCGGTCTTGCAAAGGACAAACTTGGAATGCTGATCGCAAGCTGTTGAGCAAAAGCAGCGCAAAACACACACGTGGTCCTGCAAAGGCGTCCCATCAGTTGCGGAACAGCCATCTGTGAAGCAGCGAAAAGCAGTGAACATTGCTGCAGGGACGGAATCAAATTCTCCTCCATCTCCGTCCAAGTCCATGAACATTGTGCGGGCTACTACGCCCATCAAATACATGCAGCCCACCAAAAGAACAATGGCCCAGAAAAGAACTCTGAGGCCTGTGAAAACTCCTTCACATGGGAGAGGCAAGGACGTTGTGTAATAAAAAAAGCTGTGCAGAAGCCCAGGCAGTGAAGAACTAGGCCAAAGAACACGTATTAAAACGTATTAAGTTTCCCGAAATTTCAATCCAAATCATCAGTGCGAGCGCTTCTTCAAGGAAGGGGGAGCTTTCTTGAAGAAGCGTGAGCCCTGCAGCGTCCTAGTAGCTTGGAGTGAACTTCTCACTTAATCAAGTAAACGCCTACTTAATTAAGGAGGCAAAGCAGAGCGGGCTTTTAAAAAAAACCCTGCCTTGGATCATGAGCTTCAATTCTTGAAAGATCTTGAACTTCAATAGGCGCACGATGCGCCCAAGTCGCGCCAACTTCAGCATCTTCAAAGTACCCCACGCTGACGCTTGGGCTCCTTGCCCACTTGCGAGGCTGGCATAGGTAATCGAAATATCTATTAGGGCTAAGATCACCTGACGAAGCGCTTCGGCTGTATGTTTAGGCCAAGACTCTGCCTCCCTACTTAATTAAGTAGGCGCCTACTTAAGGGAGGCTAAGTTAGCTTCTAGGAACTGGAAGTAGGATATCTCACATATCTTCAAGGAAGCTCCCCACGCTGCTCTAAAGGCGGCAGGGGGGAGCTTCCTTGAATTGGTTCCTGGATCTTTAGGGAAACTTAACTCAGCAGCAAAAAGTGTGAAACTAGATTTCGATTGAAGCAAGAACGACATCTTTCCGTTTAAAAAAGACTTTCGGCCAAGCCACGCATAGCACATCAAACCACGACCAATACCTCGGTTTCTAAACCACCCACAGAAAAGTAAAAATGAATCACTTAAACCGACCTCTAATGTTGGATCGGATTGGAGGTTTTTTGCTGGGACTAGATCTCTAGGCATTCACTCTCACCTTCAATCCTCTCCAGTAGAGACCATGGACAACCCCCCCATCCACAGTGGCTCACCTGCAATTACCTCGGCCCGGCCTCCAACCTACTCGCGATGGCCTCCAACCTACTTGCGATGGTCTTGAACATATGTCCAGATTGTTCAAGTGCCCAATGTGCGTGGTGATCAAATTGTCGCTATGGTACTCAGTCTATCGTCCGGTGAAAAAAGCTGCAATTACTCCCTGACGCATCACTAAAAGGATCCTCCAAAGCTTCCTTCCTTTGTGCATCCAAGTACCACTCAGAGCCCCACAAATAGTCTCTGTAGCCAAAAACTCTGAGCTTCACCACGATCTCGCCGAAAAAGAACAAGGTGAACATTATCCTTAACTGTGAAGCAGCCAAAAATGACATGGAGCACTGGAGCTGGCAAGCAGAAAGTTTGTTCCCAAAGACCTGATTTGCAGTTGTACTTAGGGCCTAAGGGTCTGCTCTTTATCCTAATATTTTCTTCTTGGTGACGATTTGTGGCAGCTAAATGCAAAGTCCGTTCTGTGGCAGGCGCAATCCCCGCAGTGACTCACTCAACTTTCACTTGATAATCACATTTGCATCCTCTTTTCAAAATTCAGGCTTTTGCTTGGTGCAGTTCAACAATGTTCAAACAAATGAGCATCGCAACGGTCATTTGTTCAGATTCAAATCGAGCTGCAAACTTGCTTGCAAATCAAAGCAATTCCAAAAACACAAGTCTAAAGACTACTTCAAAATGCGACAAGCCAGCGAAACTTTGCCTCAAAAGTCAAGAGACAACTTTGCCAATCCACTGCCAAGCCGGGCATCAAACTATCAAACCATGTTATTGTGAAACAACGAACAAAACATTGCGCAAATTGTTAAAAGCAAGGAAAATGGTGTAAGCTGACAGCAAAGCATCTCAAGAACTTTCCAAAGTGCGCTATCTTTGTCAATGTCAGCGCTCAAGCCAGCCACGACAGCACTCGTCAAGATAGCAATGGCTGGGATCACATCCAAAAGAAGGTAGAAAGTCGCATGGTCCTGCGCTTCTAGATTGGAGGCCATTGCTACTAGGGTGGATGCCGCTCTTAGGTACATTTTTTCTTAGTTGCATGGTCCTGCGATCGTCTCCAAGAATCTGTACGTGCCTACACTCTTAGACCCCATTGCTTCGGCATTTCGGACTCAGGGACTCAGCCAAGGACAACTCAGCCCCAATGTGACAAAGAACGGACAAAAATGGCAACGCAAACGGCAAACGGATTTTCAGCGTCCTCACTGTCCTCTGGCTCTTGAATTGCCATATCTTTTACCTGCATTGTCAGCGAGAAACGAATTCGAAGACGAAGCTTTTCGAGATTACCTGGTGTCACCAAGGTGCGTAGGAGTACCTGGTGTTCATGGATTTCTTTGTAGTCACTTGCTCCTCAGGTGCTTCTGCCTCTTCTGCGGTTGCAGCCTGAGGTTCCTCATTCTCCACACACCCAGGAAGGACCTGCTTCGCTTGCGGACTTGTTGAATCTGATGGACTTTGGTCACCGTCCAAGCTGATCCTTGCAGCCATTCAAGAATTGGACACGCCTGCAGTTATGGCCTCCAACCTCAAGTTCCCCTGAAAGTTTGGAAGCCAAATCATTAGTGCCATGCGAGCGCTTCTTCAAGGAAGCTTCCCCCACCCGAATTTAGGGGCAGGGGGAGCTTCGAAGAAGCGTGAGCTATCCTACTTCCAGTAATTAGTAGAGTCCACTTGTTGCTACTAGCGACCTCTAGCCACTACCTCACCTACCTCACCTCACCTGCTAGCTGCTTACCCCCCGCACGCGCGAAAAAAAAACAGAGTTTCCAAAACAAGAACTACAAGGAACCACCGTCTTCAGAGGTTCCTAGTCTTGATGACGATTTGCTTTAAACACTTCCATTGACTTCCATGATGCGGTCCTTGTCTTCTTGGGTGGTGGCGGTGGTAGCTTCACTTCGCTTTTTAGCTTCTCCTTCTCCAAAAGGAGACCTTCAAGGCCTTCAGCAGCTTGAGCTTCTGTTTGCAACGGTGTCAGTTCGAGCGGTTCCGGAGCCACCAGCGCATCTGGCGGCACCGGTGCTGCCGGACGCAGGGATTGCAGGGAGCCCTCCGAGTCCGAGTCCTGCGAAGAAGCGAAGCGAAGAAGTAGACACCGAGAAACGATAAACAAACTCTTTATATTGTGATCCTATCATATTTTATTACAAAATTCTAAATATAGGATAATAGTATATTAAGTATATGTATGTAATTTAGCTAGTGGTAAGGGGTAGTTACTAAGCTGCTAAGCTTCAGTAGCTTCCGCTTCGACGCAGAAGAAAGGAGCCCTCGCATGGAAAGTTAACAGAATGAGAAAGGCTTCCAAAGGAGTTCTCCATGGTCTAGAGCAGAATAGGAGAGGACACACAAAAGAAGGATGAAAAGGACATGCATTCTTTTTCAAAGAAGAGTTCTTGTTGACCAAAGAAAGCCAGTTTTAGTAAGTACTTGCTCTTGTCTTGGAAAATGGACGAAATTGTCTGGAGTCTCCAAAAGTTTCTTTCTTACCAGCGACGGCCTCCAACCTAATAGCGGCCTCTTGGGGTCAAAAGTTTCTTTCGATCTTTCGTCCTTTTTCGGAAACATGAAACGCCGTGACGGCTTCTGATTCTGAAATCGGCTGATTTTCGAAATCCTTGCGAGCAAGCTCTCGCAGGTGCTCTTCAGGCCGCTCAATCTTGGAGTCCTTTTGCTCCTTTGCAAGCTGAGCAAAAGCAAATCTGTAAAAGGTGGAGAAAGTTTCACGCAGAAAGTGAGCGCTCGGTGGCAAAATGAAACATTCACAAATTCACAAGATCTTGTGTTTGGATGCTCCTTCTGGAAATCTTGGAGCTGCTCTCGCAATACGTCCAGCTCCTTTTGGAGTGACGCATTTTCTTGCCGTAGTTGCTGAAATTCACTGCTCAGGGCAGCCATATGATGATGAAACGCGTCACTCTCCATGGCACAAAAACTTGGAGCAAGTGTTGTCTCGATTCCTTGAAGCTTTTTGAAAGTTCATGTACGAAATCTTCAATGCCCAATTCCGCGAACTTCTCAGCACTTTGTGGAGGTACTTCTTGCTGTGCAACTTACAGGAAAACGTATTGATTGTTATTTGGACACAAGTGAATAAAGCATTTGCTGTGCAAAACGCACTTTGGCGTTGGAGGCTGCCACTAGGTTGGCCATTTGGACGCAAAACGCTCATATCAGTTCCACGTACTCAATACCCCAATCCATGACACCTGCGCACTCGGAAGATGGTGAGCGGAGTTCCAAAAGTTCCAAAATGATCGTTCGACGATGATCTCGTCCAATTAAGAAGGCTTTGTCTGCCATACCTTCCACTACTTGCCTAGACTACCTGCAAACAGTACTTCTGTATCAAGGACGGAAACCATCTACAAAACTTGTGCTGTCTTGCTCTTTCTTGTGTTGAAGCGAAGCTTCAAGCGAGTTTGCTAAATTGCATGGGTTGGAATGCCAAGCAAAGACCATAAATTGAAGCGGTCATCTGTAGCTGCTAAAATACTTGAAAGTACAAAGAGACCACCTACCAGCGATGGCCTCCACCCTAGCAGCTAAGTCAAGTTTCCCAATAATTCTAGGAACCAAATCAAATCATTCGTGCGAGCGCTTCTTCAAGGAAGCTCCCCCCGCTTCTTTAAGGGAACTCCCCCTGCCACGGGGGAAGCTTCCTTGAAGAAGCGTGAGCTATCCTGTGTCCTAAATAGTAGCTTACTTACTAGCTATCTCAGTTCCTGATTCAATTGAGTAGGTGCCTACTTAATTAAGTAGGCAGGGGGGCAGCGGGACTTAGAAAAACAGGGGTTTTTCTTCTTGTGCAGGATGTTTGGACATGACTCAAGTTTCTCAGCCCAGCACAACCTAAAACCATCGTCGTGGGACGCGCTTTTTGGCTTTCTGCTTTTCTCAGCTTTCGCCGATTTGTGCCGTCTGCCACTCAAGTCACCTCGGCAAATATTGAAAAGCAGAAAGGAAGAAAGTCGAAACAAATTACAGGTCGTTTCCTCCCGTGCTTGCCTTGGGTCTTGGTCTTACCAAAGAATTCTGTGTGAGACTTCAACTGTGAGTGTTTCAAAACGATTTTTGAATTCTCCGTGTCGAAAGCAGCTTCTAAACACATTTGACTCGCCTGATGCAGCACATCGTTTGCCAGTTTGATCGTCCTGCGACTCTTGGGCTATGTGCATAAGCAAATGCCCTAAGTGGAATGAATTCTACTCTTTGGCGGGTAAGAAAGCGTTTCCAACTGAAAGCGTTGTGGGGAGATGCCGAGGCTTCAAGACCGGAGCTTCCGTTCCCTTTTGTCCTCTGAAGCTCAAGACCCTTGGGTGAGCGACACCATGCCGCAACAAGGAGCCCAGTGGCAATGACCCTGAGGACAGCTGAAGAAAACATGAAGGAAAGGAAAGACACTCAATAACACATTCTATCACATTCTTATGCTTTTTAACAAGTACCCAGAGGAGCATTTGTTTGCACTGGAGTCGTTGGGGCCTAATTGAGCCCAAGACCTAACATGAGCATTGAAACATGATGGAAGGCAATTCAGCATTGGCAACATTTTAATGATTGGTATGATAGAACCACTCTATCTTTAACAAGAAGCTACTAGGAACAAGTGCATCGCTTCTAGTAACAAGTGCCTTACTAGTAGTAGTAACACTGTTCGCTATTTTTCTTCTTCTTCTGTCTTTTCTCTTTAGACCTTTAGACGTTGCTTCGTTCCCTTCATTTCTTTCGCCTGATCATCTCAGCCATGGCAATGTTGGCCGCTGTGGCCACAGCTGCTGCCAACGCTTGGAGGCAAAAAGCCGCCAGCAGCAGCGGGAGAACTGGACATTTGACAAGAGTGGGAGAACTCATAAAACCGCGATTGATTCCTTTACTCATCTTGCTTAAATTGGAATCAGGCGAAGAGGGGTGTACTTTCGCACAATGAGGAACATAAGGTTGGAGGCCATCGCCGACCATCGCTATTAGAAACAAAGAAAAAAGAAAAGGAAGACAGGTCTAGTATATTTCGCTTCGGTTGGAATTCTCCTGGATCAGCTGACAGGGCTCGGAAAATGCACTTGTTCAGATCAAGCTCTACTACACAGAAAGTCACCAGAAAAATTGCAAAAAACAGCAAGAAGTAGTTGGAACTCCCAAATACACGAACTTGTGCCTGAGATGTATGGATTTGACAGAGTTTCTTGTGACCTTGGTTGGCCAAGCAGTGAAGTAGAAGAAAGAAAGTTACTTGCCAACAAGTTCGTACTCTTTAAACATTGCTGAGAGATCCATCAAAGCATGCTGTTTTTGCTTTGGTACTTCACCAGCTTCAGGTCCGATTCTTTTCAGTGCGAAATGCAACGAATTCTTAGGGGCTGCGCTCGCATGGAGGATGGATGAAGTACCTGGGGGAAAGTTTGGATCGGAGCGAAATAGATTCTGATTTCCCACAATCTAGGGAAACAAATTCATAGAGGCTCGGGGCTTCAAGGAAGCTACTTCTTCTGGAGAAACTTTCTTGAAGCCTGAGCCCTTCGAAGATACTTGTTAACTTAGTAGCCACCCAGTTAGCTACTCGTTAGCTACTTTGTCAGTAGCCCACCAGGAACGAGATGATGTTCTTGCAGAACCCAAGGCAAAATCCGACATTTATCTAGCTTAAGCTTTTAAGACGCCTACCGGATTGGTACTGTTGTGCAAAAAATTAGGAAATCTAACCAAAAAGGGATCAACCAAAAAGAAACAAGAACATCTTACGATTCTTACCAAACTCTTAGAAAGAACTCTTGACTGCTCAAGAATCCTTGTTTCACCTTCAAATCTGGAGTCTGCAGCCTACTTTCTGTGCCAGGCAGCAATGGGTCTGAGAAATCCCTCCGGTGTCCAAACCGATTGCTATTTCCAACTGTGGTTCGTAAGTCACCATCAAAGGAATAAAGAAAGGTCCAGAGCAAAAAGCTGAGCAAAAGAAGAAAAAAAACAACACACACACATATATATATATATATATACACATGATTCCACAAAAAACAAGAAGGATTGTAAAGGATGGACGTTTCCTTCGCATCACTGCGGCCACGTCACTGCCCTGCCATTGACGCGACGCGACGGCGGGTCTGACAGGTCGAGCCCTTCACGCGCTGCAGGCGGTCAATGGAGTCGATCACGCGAAGGAGTGTACTTTCGGTCCAAAGAAAAGACACAGAGTAGCGTCCTTGTTACTACTAGTAAGGCACTTGTTACTAGAAGCGATGCACTTGTTACCGGTAGCTTCTTGTTAGAGAAAAAAACAAAAAGAAAAAGGGAAGAAAAGGTCTAAAGAGAAAGAACGAAAGGAACAGTGCTGGATTTTGACAATCTGGACAGATGTCTTTTCATGTCACTTTCATCATGAAAGCATACGATTTTCTGTGAGGTGTGCCTCCGAAAAACTCATCAACTCTGCACAAAGGTTGCAAAGGTTAAACCTTAAACAGGTCACTACCGGAGATATCTGAGATATAAATCCACATGTTTAAAGATCCTTCGTCAGCTCTTTCTGTTTGAAACATGCTCCTTTCACAGGCTCTCAAAGACTCAGAGACAAGGAACAAGCAACGGCACTCGGTCTTTTCGGCGCTCAGGGGCGAAACCTGAGACGAGCTCAAGAGATGCACAGGGATGCCCTTTGCTCCTAGTAGCGTCCGAACTCCTGGCATTGCTAGTAGGAGCAAATAGCTACTAGTAGCTACCTCTTGTTCCTAGTAGTAAGGCCAGGAGCCTCTAGTAGCATCCTTGCTCCATTCTTAAAAAGACGCCCAGAGGAAGCCCAATTCTTTCAGTGCTTTGAACAGCCATGGCATGGTGCAAACGGTCACGCTACCATCATTTGGGCACCCAACTTCCCAGTCTTCCAGTATGGATGCCTGGCAAAAACTCTTGGGCACGCTGGTAACAAGCTCCGCAGATTCAAAAATTCTCAACATGAAAAATCAACATGATCTGAAGATCTGAAGGAACATGAAAGGAACAACATATTAAAACATATTCAAAAAGCATATCCCATTAGCTTGAACAGGTTCCAAAAACACGGGGTGTTTTGACAGCAACCTCATGCGTCCAAGCACCTCAGCCTCAAGACACAGCAGTGTTCTTGCTGAGGCATTCCAAATGCGCCTTTGGCATCCCAAATGTAAGGCGTTACTAGCATTCTTGAGCATTCTTGTTAGAGTCAGGAGAGGGAGCAGCTCGGAATACATCGTCGGAGCGGCGCGTTGCTGATGACCGGCGTGTTCCGTGAGACGTACCTGGTCTGGCGCCGCGTGTTCTCTGAGAAGCTTGATCTCTTCCGGGGGACAGCTTGGGCAAACGACAACTCTATTGCTGCAACTGGCCATGGTTCAAAGCTAGCCTTCACTATGGGTGCCACAATGAATCTATTTCCCAACATCTACAGTATTTTCTATTTTGGACTTCAAAAAAAACACCTCTTGGGGGTCCACGCCTGCCTGCGTAAGTTGCCAAATTCAAACCTCCCGAAATTGAGTTCGCACATGTCCATTCTCAATGAACCGAGGGCAGCACTACTATTGATAAACCCTCGGTGCAAACAGACAAATACCATTCGGGACGAACCTGCTAATAGCAAGCAAAGGAAGAAAGAAACATATAAAGACTTATCTAACAGCGCAGCAATGCCACTCTGAACAATATATTACGCCAGCATAGATCCCAAATAGCAAACATGTTATTTGTGGACAGCACCGTGGCAGCATCACGCTGCAGTGGCACCAGGATCCCTCAAAAGCGCACACAGCGGACATCTTGCAACAGCACCCTCCAGCGGCACCACCACTCATCTGGCAGCGGCACCAGCACCGTGGCACCATCACTATCAGATCACCTCTCCAAATCGCACACAGGCATCTCTTCCTATCGAAGTAAGAACCCCAATAGCTCGCACTATCTGGGGAAATGTACAAATTATGCCAGCATAG